TCAAGATCAGTGAGTATAGGGATATGGTTGACCGAGCTGCACTTGTGGAAAGAGATATAGAGGACAGCCAGTGGCAACAGAGCTTCGCGAGAGGAGGTCCGATCCGGACGGGTGCTAGTAATAGTGGATTACAGTGAACAACACCATACCGATGGCCAGACCAGGCAAGTGGACAGAGACTTCTTACAGCCCGAGGAGATGGCGTTGCTCAGACTAGAACAAGCACTGACCCACGTCAATGCTTTGCATGCGAAGAGTTTGGGCACTTCAAACATAAATGCCCCTCGTTTCCCCCAAGGACCAATCAAATAACCGGGCAGGTATCAGCAAACAAGTCACCCCCTACAAAGGTCAGCATAGCAAAGACCGTTACAAGCTCAAGCCCCCGGTGACGCCAATCAAGGGAGAGTTTTTGCTTTGACTCAATCGGAGGAAGATGTTTCTAATGCCGTAGTGGAAGGTATCGTGCTTCTTTATAACTCTTGGGCCCGAATCTTATTTGATCTCGGTGCTACACACTCATTCATACGTACTGCATATGCTTTTAATTTGGAATTGAGATTTGAGAAGCTAAAACATGTCCTTAGTATTGACATGTCCACGGGAGAACGGTTAGATACAACAAGGGTGTGTAGAGGATGTGTGCTTCGCATTGGGGAGCAAGAGTTGGTTGTTGATTTGGTTACGTTAGATATGAAGGGGTACGACCTTATATTTGGGATGAACTTGTTGTCCGCTTTCTGTGCGGTGATGGATTGTTTTCACAAACAAATTTCCTTTTAACTATCGGGAGGAGTAGTTTTTACTTTCAAGAATGATCTCACTTCTTCTCATCCATTTTTCACGACGGGAAATAGATTCTTAAAAGCTAAGGCATGGAACAATTTGAGTTTCTTGGCCAGCTTAATGGGATATGATTGGGACAAATCCCAACCAAATGTAATATTGGTGGTGTCGAACTTTCTGGATATTTTTTTTGATGAATTACCTGGGTTATCCCCATAATGAGAGATTGGGTTCAAGATTGATCTCTATCCGAGAATAGAACCAATATCCATTGCTCCTTATCGGATAACACTTTTGGAGTTGAAAGAGCTAAATAAGCAATTAGACCATTTGTTGGCTATTGGGTTTATCCGTTTGTATACTTCACCTTAGGGAGCCCCCGTCCTCTTGGTGAAGAAGCATGACAAGACACTTCGGTTATATACGGAATACTGAAGGTTAAATCGAGTAACAATGAAGAACAAATATCCCTTGCGAAGGATTGACGATTTATTCGATCAGTTGAGGAGTTTCAAGTATTATTCCAAGATTGATCTTCGCATTGGATACCATCAACTGCGGATTAAGGAAGAGGATATTCCCAAGACAGCTTTTCGTACCCGATATGGTCATTTCGAATATACGGTGATGTCGTTCGGACTGACTAATGCACCAGCAGCCTTCATGGATTTGATGCACAGGGTATTCCGGTCATACCTCAATCAGTTTGTCATTTTTTTTATTGATGACATATTGATCTATTTACAGACCTGAGAGGAACATGCATGTCATCCCTCGATTGTGTTACAAACATTGAGAGAGTATAAGTTGTATGTCATGATGAGCAAATGCGAGTTTTGGATGAGGGAAATGAAATTCCTGGGTCATGTGGTGTCCGACCCAGGGGTAGCTGTTGATCTTGCAAAAATTGAAGTCGTGATGAAATGAGAACCACCTAAGAATGTGACAAAAGTACGTAGTTTTTTGTGGTGGCTATTATTGCAGGTTTGTGGAAGGGTTTTCAAAACTTATGATGTCGATGACTTGCCTCACAAAGAAGGGAGAAAAGTTTGTGTGGATTCAAGCGTGTGAACTAGCCTTTAGCACCTTGAAGGAGAGGTTGACGACGGCACCTGTCTTCATTATTTCGACCAGTGGGGAATGATATGATGTATACACTGATACTTCGCTACGAGGCTTAGGATATGTGCTAATGCAGGGAGGCAAGGTTGTTGTTTATGGTTCGAGACAATTAAAGGTTCATGAGCAAAATTATCTCGCTCATGACTTGGAGCTTGCCGCTGTGATTTTTGCTCTCAAGCTGTGGAGATATTACTTGTATGAAAAAAAGTTTCAAGTGTTCTCGGATCATAAAAGCCTCAAGTATGTGTTCACACAGAAAGATTTGAATCTTCGGCAGAGAAGGTGGGTTGAGTATCTAGAAGATTATGATTTCACACTCAACTACTATCCGGGGAAGGCCAATGTAGTCGTCGATGCACTTAGCCAAAAGTCTTGGGGTGAACTCAATGTTCTCGCAAGTAAATGAAATATGAGGGATGCCCTTGGAGACTATGATCTATAGGTTGGAGAAGATAGATCTCGGCCATGCCTATTCAACCTTTTGGCTCAACCTACCATTCAACGTAGGGTTGTGGAATTGAAATGCTTAGATCCTGACTTAGCGTCGATTAGAGCTAAATTGGAGAATGGAGAAAAAATGGAGAGTTGGTCTTTGAGAAATGGAGAACTGAGATATGGGGAGAAGTTATGTGTTTTCGATGATTCGTTCCTAAAGGAGGAGATACTTAGAAAGTGTCATCGCTTTAAGTTTGCTATCCACCCTGGTAGGACAAAAATGTATAAGAACATGAAGTGCCAATATTGGTGGAAGGGAATGAAGAAGGATGTGGCAAGGTTCATAGCATGATGTGCGGTGTACCAGCAGGTAAAGATTGAACATCAAAAGTCAGGAGGATTACTACAGTCATTGCCTATCTCAGAATGGAAGTGGTATCACATCACCATAGATTTCGTGTCGAGTTTACCACGGACGTCGTGCAGGCATAATGCATTATGGGTTATAGTTGATAGACTCACCAAGTCTGCACATTTCTTGAGTATAAAGACCACAGACACTCTAGAGACCTTAAACAAGCTGTATATCCGCGAGATCGCATGGAGTTCCACTCTCTATCGTATCAGATCATTATTCCTGTTTTGTGGAGCAATTTTGGTAAAGTCTACAACGAGTTATGAGGACAGAATTACATTTTAGCACTGCTTTTCATCCCCAAATGGATGACCAATCCGAGAGGGTAATACATATTTTTAGAGGATATGCTTTGTGCTTACGTATTGGACTTCAAGGGAAGTTGAAGTGACTATTTGTCGTTGGCGGAATTTGCGTACAACAACAGCTGTCAGACAAGTATTGGAATGGCTCTGTATGAAGCATTATACAGAAGGTCATGTTGATCACCGACGTGTTGGTTAGAAGCGGGCAAAAATAGCTTGTTTGGGCTGAAAATTATTTGAGAAACTACAGAGAAGATTCTACTCATCTGGGAAAGACTACACACGACACAAAGTAGACAGAAAATCTATGCGAACAAAAGACGAAAATCATTGGAGTTCCAAGAAGGGGACTATGTTTTCCTCAAAGTATCGCCTAAGAAGGGATTTTGAGATTCGGCAAGAAGGGAAAATTAGCTCCAAGGTATATCGGACCATTTGAAGTGATCAAAGCAGTGGGTAAAACGACGTATCAACTTCAGTTACCGGCTCAGTTGTCAGGTGTGCACGACGTGTTTCATGTGTCAATGTTGAGGAAGTGCCAGTCGGAGACCACGCATGTGATAGATTTGGAAGATATTAAAGTTCAAGACAGAGCAACATATGAAGAATAACCGATGAAGATTCTTGATACCAAAGAGAAGGTGCTCCGCAATAAAATCATCCAACTAGTGAAGATTTTGTGGCAACACCATGGAGTGGAAGAAGCTACTTGAAAACTGGAGCTAGAAATACGAGAGAAGTACCCGCACTTGTTCGTTACTTGAGGTAAGTTTCAAGGACGAAACTTTATTTAAGGAAGGTGGATTGTAAACCCCCACATGTTTATATTAATATAGTAATGTACTTGTTTAGTGATTCTTATATATGTAATGACGTAAGAATTTTCCTACAGAGCTTCGTCCTCACCCCCTACTCAACAACCTTTTTAGATTATCCTCTAGAGGAAGAGCTGAGAGTCGAGGAGCCCGAACACTGGGAGACTCCAATAGACGGAAGCGTGAATCCCGAGGTGGATGCTTAGAGCGACACTTTCTTTTGTTCTAGACTAGGATATTTATTTTGAACATTGTAAAGTCTAATTTTTCTTTTGTTATTCCGCTATGCTATGATAGTTAAATTTTTAGAATGTAAATGTCATAGTTGGGCATATTCTTTTGGATAATATTATAAATTTTATGGATAAAAAATAAAGTCTTATTTATTTATGGATCATATTAGTGCTCTCATAATGTAAATAGTTTTAAACAGTAATGTGGTCAATATTTATTCATAAATGAACCCGGTGTGATCAATATAGTATAATTGTACAGGTTATATTTTGGATAGAACTTTTCGTATAAAAGAGACTCTGCTCGAATTTTATTAAATTAAAGACCCTAATTTTTGAGACGTTACACATTCGTTTGGCAACGTATATTTTTACACGGTTTTTTTAATTGTTTTTCCACCTTAAACTCGGCATTGTCTTACAACATCATTAAAAAAGACTAGATACTCATTGAACTTCTGGTCTACTTTGTCAAGTATTAATTTTTAAGAAACCACTTGATTGGCAACATACACTTTTACAAAAATTTTAATCGTTTTTCCAACTTAAACCCTACATTATATGACCACATCAATAAAAAAAAACAAACCTAGGAGTAGTCATTGACTTATGGTCAACAAAGTTACTTCCATCAGCCAATCAGGTATATAAACAATATATTTTACATGGTTCGGAGCCCGAGACGTAAAAGCAGTCTTTTTTAACTTATAAGAATAAATTGTGTACATTTAATTCTCTCCTAATCTTATAATAATATAAATCTCGCGTACCGAGTACTTTCTTAATCATCAGCCATCCATATAAACAACACCCTGCATAGCCAAATTCAGAGAACTGATCATCGCTTCCCTTCTCTTCCATTAGTTCTCTGGATCATCAGCACCAGACAATGAGGAAGCTTGCGAAAACTGCATTTTATATATTTCTTCTCTCTGCATTGACTTTCAAGGTGACCGGACGATTCTTACAACACAGCTCTCCTGAGTTGGTTTCCGATTCCGACCATGTCCAAGACGAAGAAGAACCCTCTTTTCTTGTCCTCAAAGGAATAGATTTATCGTCGGAGGATGATCGGTGCAAGCAAATGTACGGCTTCTTGCCCTGCCCGACAAGTCTTTGGGGCCATCTCTTCCTTATTGTGGTGTATGAATACTTGTTATTTCAAGGAGAGTCACATGTGATCTCTGGTGGTGAACAGATTTTCAAGATTCTTGGTCCTGGTTTCTTTGGTGCAAGTATATTCCGGATCCTTGGTGCACTTCCTGAGTCCTTGATACTTTTGGGTATGTTAAATTTCTTCCTTTTTGTTTGCCTGATGAATCCCTAGAATAGACACAAGAATCGCCTCACAACAACCTCCACTGCAATAAAACCCTACAATGAGTTTAGGAAGACTTTGAGCAGTATGAGATAGGCTAATCACCTCTTCTAGAACATGTTAATTGCGGGAGACAAGAACAAGTGAATCTAATTGTGAGAAGGAACACGTTAATTTATCTTAAATTGACTATGGACGGTACTATTGTCACAATATTATTTCAATAAATTGGATTAATTTTTTAAATCTCAATAGCATTAAATATAATAGATTGTAATTAAATTTTCTGTTTTGATTTTTGGTTATCTTTCTACCAGCCACGGGACTAGTGGAGGACAAAGAGGGTGATCAAGAGTCTGTCCAAACCGCACTTGGCTTGCTAGCAGGATCAACAATCTTGCATCTCACTCTACTCTGGGGGACTTGTGTCACCGTTGGCAGCAAAGCTGATCCCCCAACCCCAAGTTCAAGGCCATTAAACCATGGACAAAACCATTTCAAGAAATTCTCATTGCTATTGGCTGGTTCACTCCTTTCTCTCTTTGTTTCGAGAAATGTTATTAGGACTAAAAAATATTAACATGATTTATTGACTTGAATAATCATAATTATTGAATAAATAGTAAATTCTAATAAATGTTAGAATTCATTGTTAAATTAATGATAATAATTAATTAAATTAATAAATTAATTCAATTTTTAAATTCAAGTATCATAGCTCATTTTTTTTTTTTTTTT